ACGCGACCTGGAACGAGCCCATTGGAAGCGTCTCCTCTTCGCCTGGATACTCGTACTCTTCCACTGTCGCGTCGGCCTTCTTCTCCCACTCGTCACGTCCCTCCTCCATGCGTCGTCTCGATTCAGGGTCCGTTGGGCCGATCATTCCAAGCATTCCGAGCATCACACCGAGCCTCGCCGCCTCTACCGCGGCGACGGAACCCTTGACGCGTCCCTTTGGGCGCAGGTGTGCGCCGGAGTGCTCAGGCGACACGCAGCTGACTGCCCAGTCGATGGCAAAGAGGCCGTCCAGCGTACAGAAGCCGAGGTCGTGCGTATCGTCGCCCAGTCCACTATCGACATCGGGGTGCAGTCGTGGCGCCTTGTCGCAAGGCCAGCCCGAGCGCATGCAGCCGAGCTCCTTGAGTCCGCCCCGTGTGTGTCGCGCTCGAAACCGCCCCTTTCCGAAGAGGCAGAAGATGTCGTCATTGCGCCGATCCAGGCCGAGGTCGGCGTCCCACGGCGTCAGATTGAGGTCGGCGCTCACGTTGTCCCATGCGTCCTGGGCCGCGAGTCCCATACTGGCCATCTCGGCGACAGGCATCATATCCACGAATTCTTTGTGCATATCGCGAAACCTCGCCTTCGGAGCGAGGACCCATTCAATGAAGGGGCACTCGACGAAGCCTTCGCCCGCCAGCGTCACGGGCGTAGCCCGCGCGATGGCGTACCAGAGCTCCGGGGCGAGGGCTCGCCACAGCTCGACTTGTGGCACGCTTGGCACCGGCTGCGCTTGCGGCTGGATCGCGCAGCGACGCGACATGATGAGCGCGACACACCGGGCGCGCACCGTCGCGCGGTCGGGGAAGGCCATATCGCGCTCGATCGTGATGTGAATGTCGCACGGATACATCGTGGTTGGCGAGGTCGCGAAGACTGGCAGACTGGCTGTGGCTGTAGGATCACTGGCTGAGGGGGGGACTGGCTGTAATTGGCTGCAATTTGCCAGAACACTCAGAAGAAACGACGTGTTTGTTTCTTTCTCTGCACAGCTCGGCTGCTGCCACCGCCGCGGCGGTGGCGGCGGCGGAGGCCGGGACGCGCCTGGCCACTGGGCGGCCGCCTGGGCGCGCGCCCGTGGCGGCCGTCGCGCCCGACGGCGCCCTCCGGCCCGCCCGTCTGCAACTGGTCCTTTCTCACTGTGAGGCTGGAGTCACATGCTCCTCGCTTCGCTGCGGAGCAGGTCGACGGCCTCCTCCTCGAGGAATGCGTCGCGGCGCGCGCTCTCGCTCACCTCGGCATCGACGACTCGTTCGAGGTGGCCAAGCTGCGCGCCGGGCTGCGCCGCTGCACGCAGACTGCCCTCACCACCTCCTCAGCTCTCGCTGCTGCCACCCTGGGCGGCGAGGCGGCGCAGGGCGAGGCGGCCGCCGACGTGGGCGGGGGTGGAGGCGCGGCTACGAGTCGCCCGTGCGTGGGCGAGGCGTCGGAGGGCCCTGAAGGTGCCTGGAGGGTCGGGGAACCCGATCAGGGACACAGGGGAACGGGAGCGGGGAGCGCATCGCGACACGGAGGGGGGCTGGGCAGGGTCGCCCAGGGTTCACCCACACGACAGGGTCCCAGGGATTCCTCTCTCGTATAGGACGGGTCGCACCCGGCGGCACGGGGGCAGGCGCGGGCCTCCTACTGGTTGCGCTCTCCTAGTTCTCCTGCTACTGACAAAAGGGACAGCGACAGGTTCGCAGCACGGTGGACTCCCGACCTAACTACCGTAAGACTCTTTTTCTCAACATTGGCTCGCACGGCACGCACTATTGCGGAGACGTCAAGGTCGTCTGTTCCCTCAGCAGCAGCGGGGAGCACGGTCGGAAGGGCGCTTTTGTCGCTTTCGGCAACACTGAATCATTCTACCGGAACATGGTCATGGGGCATGGGCCCTACTGCGAGGAGGGAGAGGGAGGTGGGGGGCAGGGGGAGGGGGGGGGAGAGGAGGAGGGGGGGGGGGGAGGGGGAGGGGTACCGGGGGGGCGGCATGGAGGGGGAGAGGAAGAGCAAGGGCGAGAGAGGGCAAGGGACTGGGCGCTGGCATACCAGGGGGGGCAGGGTGGTGGGCGGCGACCGCCGCATACCGTCCTACGGCGGGGACTATCGCTACGCCAGGGAAGACAAGGGCGTCGAAGTGCAGCTGCTGCTGTTCGAATCGTTCGGCGGGTTCGGAAAGGGGGTCCGTGAGATCCTCCGGAGAGCGGCGGACGTGCTACAGAACAAGCTGACGCGGGCCCAGTACCTCGATGAGGTGACTTGGACCACCAAGAGCTGGCTGGGGCTGCAGAAGCAGCGCATCTCAGTCGTTCTTCACACGGCCATCGCAGAGCAGGTCGTGAATGAGCTTGCCTGTGGCGGGGGTGGGCGGGTGCACGGAGCTAAGTGCCTCGCCACCCTCGCAGGAGTCGCTTAGGCGGCTCCCGTGGTGTACCTGTGTTAGTGCCAGTGCGCGCCAGTCCCGTGCCCAGTGTTGTGCGAGGGAGTTTTGTTGATTCTCATTTTTTCCCTGGGCGGAGCGAGCGCCCGCCGTGCGATTCGGCCCCGCGTTCGCCATTGGCGGCACAATGCAAGGCGAGCCCGCGACGCAGCGTCCGGGACCAAATGAGCAGCCTGTAAGTGTGATGGAGAAGCTTCAGCAGCTCGGCCTGCTCGGGCAAGCCATGACGGACCGGATTGTCCAAGGGAATGCTTCTGTGGTGGAGCTCCAGCGACCGTGCGTCACCTCTGGAACTCTTGCTGACACGGCTGCTGCTCCCGACGCCGGCGAGAAGGGCTCACCGGATGAGGGCGTGGGAAAGGAAGACCACCGGGAGGCGGCAAAAGGTCTCGTGTCGAGCTTGGTGGCGGCCGCTCAATCGGCAAATCCAGTAGCGGTGGCGGAGCCATCTGTTGCGGCGGAGGCAGTGATGCTTGAGGAACCGGGTGAGAAAGCCCAGGGCTTTGCGGTGTGCACGGCAGGATCAGGAAGCCAGGGCGTGGCAGAGCCACAGCCTGCCGGGCCCGCGGCTGCAGCTGGCGCGGAGACGCGGCCCTCCTCCGCGGGCAGAGGCAGCCAGCGGAGCGGCTGGCAAAAGCTTGACGAGGGGGAGGGGGGCGCTCCGGGCAGTTATCCGACTCGACCAAGGCTGTTGCAGCTCCTGTGCTCGCCCAGATTCTTCGCCGTGGCCTCAACCTTCTCCCTGGTCCTCGTCGTGGTAATTGCAGCGGTGCTGCACGGTCCGGGAGGCATCCACCGGGTGGCAGGGCGAGCCTCGCACGCGCACGCGCCACGATCGCCGCCCCCGACGCCGGCGGCGCCAACGCCGCCTTGGATGCCACCAAGCCGCCCCCCTCCGTCAGCGCCCCCGCCACCCCTGCCCGTCTTCGCGCCACTGACGGGCGAGGCGGCTGCCCCCGAGCTCGAGCGGCTCTTCCGCAGCTCTGCAGGAGTGGTGGTGCGCATGCTCGAGTGCGGCAAGTGGAAGGAGACGGCCACCGCGGCGGACTACGAGTGTGACGGCAGTGCGACCGCTAGCCCGGACACGTACACCGACTCGCGAGGTGATCGATTGGCCCACTTCTATCGCCCTTGGCCACCCCCTCACCACGCGCCGCCCTCTTATGCACAAGGCGCCGCACTCGCTGCCTCTTGGCTGCGTCATGATCTACCACGCATGCTGCCCAAGGGCGCGCATAGCGTCGGCCTCGCTTTGGGATCCTCCGCCTCGAGGAGCGAGCTGCACGGTGGCTAGGACGCGCGCGCTCTCTCGCCACTGACGCGCACCTGCCGCCTCAGGAGCCCCGCTGCGGCATGGGACCTCCTCGGCGCAGCCTCATGGCCTGATCCAGTCATCTCCACTTGCCACGAAGACCCTGCTGCACGCCTCAAAGAACTCGCGGCAGTGTTGGGACGCTGCTGCAGCGGCGAATGCCCCGCCCTCTACCACAGCGGCACCACGAGGGTCAAGGTGTGGGACACGCTGAACAGGTACCTGCACATCGCGCCAAACGCCAGCCGATGCGCGAATAACGATTGGGAGCAGGCGAGCCCCAAACTGCCCACGCCCTAGCGCTCACCGTGGCGGGGAGCACCGCCGAGCTCTCACCATAGGTTGCACAGCTGCGCCACTCCTTTTCCAAATGGCGCACGGAGGCGTGCGCCGACGACTCTCCGGTGAGGATCGGCTCACGGCCGTGCCACTGCACCGCTCCCCGCGACTGCGAAGGCACGGCTTGCCTGCTGTCGGAAGAGTACGACTGCGGGCACACGCAAGTCCATGTTCGCTTCACGGCGCACGATATCCTCGCAGTCCTCCTCTACAACAAATGGTCAGGAGGTTTGCGGCGGTAGATTGCAGACAAGTAGACTGCGGGGAGAGCGGGCTGCGAGCCCTTGACGCTGGCCCGACCGCAGATGTTTTCGCCTTTGACGAGGATGCGCTGACCGTCGCACGTGCAGCGCAGGAGTCGGTGAGTCCCCTCTAGATGCCGTGCACAGTACTCGAGATTGCCTGTCGCCGCCTTGCCCTAAGCAGGCGTGCAGGCCTGACGAACCCACATTGCGCTTGCAGATCCGGCTGCGCGCGGGGCGACGTGTGCCCATCGTCGTGTTGACGCCAGAGTGTCGCGGCCAGCTCGTTGCCGCGCAGCTTCGTGTGTGAGGGCCCCGCACTGGCCCCTTCGTGCAGCCCTCGAGCGCGTCATGTAGGATCCAAGCCCGGCAACCGTGACGCACACGTGTGTGTCTGGGCACTGGTGGGGGCGTGTCCGTGTGTGTAGCACAAAACGCGGCCGATTATGATGACGGCTCTCTCTGATCGTAGAGTTCGTACGTAACGCACACAGCGTGCAGTTGGTACGGGGGCCTGTCACTGTGTACGCGTGTGCACGGACGGCACCACACGACCCGGCAAACGCGCCAGAGTGAGCCGCTCGGGCCCTTTCGCGCCGCCCAGCGCCCTCTCTCACCCGACACCTCTCACGCTCTCAGCTCGAGGTCAATCCTGCGTCCTCAGCTCACCCGCCTCGTCCAGCACCTCCAACCCCACCGCCGCCGCGAGCTCCTCGTCCCACACGTCGGCAACATGCGCCTCGCAGGCAGCAATGTATCGGTCGCTGGGCGGCCCCCGCCACGCCACGTCGCGGCGGAGGTAGAGAACCGCGTCCACCCTCTCTCCGTCCACCCAGACGGAGCCGACGTCCTGCCTGCGTGCGGCGCCGCCTCCGCCATACGGGTCGGCAGGGTCGGCGCCCTCGATGGCGTCGAGGCGGCGGAGCGCGTCGTCCGTCAGGGAGGCGAGGCTGCCCCACACACAACCCCCGGCACGCGGGGCCAAGGACGCGACCGCGCCGCCCCACGCAACGCTGTGCCCTCCGTAGATGCGGACGGCGCCGCGGAGGGCGGCGGCGGAGGAGGAGAGGTGCGGAGCCTCGCAGTGTTCGCGCAGCGCCGCGGGACCGACGCCGCCGTAGCAAAAGACCGCGTGCGGGCCTCCGCTCAGCGTGCGGCGAGTCGGTGGCCACGTCAGCGGCGGCAGCCGCCGGAGCAGGTGCGTGCGCCAGTCTCCGGCTGGCGCCACGGCTGCGAAGCGTTGGCCGCCCGAGTCGGCACGAAGCTCGTCCAGCCGCGACGCGTCTCGAAGGACGTATAGGGCGGCCTCGGCCTCGTCCGAGCCGATCAAGAAGGCCGCTATGCGCCTGCGGTAGTAGTCGGGATGGCCTTCGAGCGCATCGAGATCATCAAGCGTCCCGTCTCCGACTTCGTAGAGCTCGCCATGCAGCGGCGCGGGTGTGTCGATCCCAGGCCGAGCCCACTCGGCGTCGAGGGCATATGGGTATCCGTCGCCCGAGTCGACGATCACATAGCGCTCACGACTCAGCGCTGCGCCGAGCAGCCGGCTGTCTTTCGATATCCAGTGGTGGTTGTGCAGCCCACGTAGCAGCGAGCCGTAGACAAACACGCGGTGTGGCATCGGCGTCAGGCGGTATATGCCTCTGCTCCTCTGCTTGTCGGCTTGTGGTCTGCCCTCAGCGCCTGCGCACTCTGCCGCTCCCGATCCCCTACCTGCCCCGGGTGTGAAACACCAAAACACGAGGAAATTTCCTAGACCTAGTGCCGAACCGCTGTTTTCTTTCTTTTTTCTCCCTGCCCTATCTCTCTTCTCTCTCTCCTTACTCTGCCCCCCTCCGCCGTGCTCCCCCGCCAACGTGACACTGAGCGCTGCTCCATCACTTCCCTCGCGACGGCGGACGCAGGCAAAGGCTGCAGTCGCAGACGAAGCGGTAGTCGCGCAGAGCCTCGCGGCGCTCCCTGCGGCTCCCCGTCTCATTATCATCAATGTACGAGATCGTGATCTCCTCTTCCGCCGCGATGTTGCGCAGCGCGACGAGTCGCAGGCGCGTCGTGCCGTGCACGAAGCGCGCCTCTGCGTTGGGAGCGCAGGAGTGGTTGGCGCACGCCACGGTGGGGTAGAGAGCACTCGCCCGCACCGCCTCGCCCGCCGCCTCTGGCAGTGCGTCGAGCGCCTCGGCAAGCAGCCCCGCCTCTTTCCCCTCCGGCCCGGCGCCTTTTCGCGGCCGCTTCTTCGCATGCCCTCCCCTGGCGTGTGTGGCGCACCACGCGGCCAGCAGCGGCAGCAGGCCCGCGAGCGGCGCTGCCACCTCGGCGCACAAGGCATTCTGCCGCAGCAGCCCGAGCAGGCCGCCCCACTCGTCCAAGGAGGGCCAGCCGTCCGCTCCTCCGGAGCAGGCGGCGGCGGCGGCGGAGGCTGAGGCGGCGGAGGCGGCGGAGGCGGGCGAGGTGCCGCCTCTCCGCCTCGCAGCGCTACGGGCAGGCTTGCTGCCATCAAGGGCGCGGCGGAGCAGCCGCAGGCTCGTCGCGCACTCGTCGCGGCACGCAGCGCGCGCCTCGGCCCCTTTGGGCAGCTCCCAGTATGGCACGCGGCAAAAGTCACCGAGCGCGAGGGAAGCTTGCGCGGCGGAGCAGTCCTCGCGGCGGGCCGTGGCGAGCACCAGCGCCACGAGCCGGCCGCCGAGCAGGAAGGCCTCGTCCGTGCCGTGTGCGTGGTCCAGAAAGGCCTCGACTGCCTCGGCGTGAGGCGCCTGCGGCTCCGCGCCTGGACAGAGCGGGCCGTGGAAGGTGGCCTGGGCGAGGGCCTCGCATTCCCGGCTGCAGAACTGCGCGTCGCACCCGCGGCTGCACTCAACGCGCCGGCAGTCGAAGTCGGGATCGCCATCGATGGGCAGAACGGGCGGGCTGTCGAGCTCCGCGGCGTGCTGTATGTGCTCGGCAGGACTGCCGATGTCGCGCAGGCACACGTCGCAGAGCAAGGCGTGCTCTGTCGAGTCAGGAAGCGGCAGCGCGATCAGCGGCATCTCCTCGAGGACTGTCGCTCCGGCGCTCACGCCCTCCGCCGCGATGAGGCAGCGGCCGCGCCCAGGCTTGCGGACTGTGTGGACCGGCACGGAGTTGATGGTAGGAGTAAGAGCGTAGACTACGCCCTTAGTAGGAGCATCCGACACTAGACGCTCTGCCATACTTGAGCCCTTGGTCCGCGGCGCCCGCCAGGGACGCGTGCGCGCGACAGCGCTCGGAGCCTACTGTGTGAATTCGCGGAGGGAAGAAAATTTTCTTACGTCCATTTTTAGGGCTCGGAGCCCTTGTGAGCAGGGATTCCCTCCCGGCGGGGGTTGTGCCGGCATGGGAATCGCCGGCCCCCACCCAGGGGGTGCCCCTGCCGGGCGCCGCAAGCGGTGCCCGGCAGGGGCGGGTGCCCCCACCCCGAGGGGCGGTGGGGGCGGAGTCGCCTCGGCAAGGTCTTCGGTTTGATTCTCCACGGTGTCGTCGAGCGAAAGCGCGGTAGCCGCGGAGGTGATGACGTCGACATCGGTGGAATCGGCTGGGTCAACGAGTAACGTCAATGTCGAAGTTTTTTCACGCCAATCCCCTTATTCACGCCTTCCCTAATTCTACATGCTGCTGCGCGTGTGCGACGCCGAGATCGCCGGCTGGTCGCACGACGGCCTCCAGGTCGTCATCTTCGATCCCGCGCGCCCGCCACCGCAACTTCCAGTCGTTCACGCAGCTGCTCAACATGTATCAGTTCCACAAGGTGCCATCGGCGCAGCGCGACTCGAAGCACGTCTTTGCGCACCCGAACTTTCAGCGCACGCGCGAGGACCTCCTGCCGCTCATCCAGCGCAAGTCCTCCTCCTCCACGGGCGTTGGCGGCGGCGCGGCCACGGCCGCGGGCGGCGCGAGCGGCGGCGCCGGCGCAGCCTCCGTCGCTGCCTCGTCGCATGCGCCGCGGGCGGAGGAGCAGGAGGCTCCGGTGGCAGAGGCGGAGGGCTTGCGCTTGCACTTGTCCAGCGCCGCCGGCACCGGCTACAAGGGCGTGCTCAAGCATGCTTCTGGCCGCTTTGAGGCAAGGCGCGCGGCCGACGGTATAAAATTCCACCTCGGCTTCTTCGGCACGGCGGTGGAGGCGGCGGTGGCGTACGCGCGGGCGGTCGAAGAGGCGGCGGCGGCGGCGACAGCGGCGGCGGCGGCGACAGCAGGGGCGGTTGATGATGAGGGGTCGGCGGCGGCGACAGCGGCAGTGGCAGCGGAGGGGGCGGAGGCGGGCTCCGGCACGCGGGAGGTGGACCGGATCCTTCCGTCATCGTCGTCGGCAGCTCACCCGGCCCGGCCAGGCGGCGACGGCCGGCGCGAGAGGAGACCGTCGACGTTCTTCGAAGCTAAGCTTGGCGGCGGAGACGCGCGGGTGCAGCACCGCGGACAAGCCGTCGACCTGACGGCGCCCGCGGCGGCGGCGGCGGCGGCTCCAAAGCCGCAGGAGGAGGAGGTGTGCAAGGCGTGGCTCGAGGGAAAGTGCCACAAGGGCAAGTCTTGCCGCTGGCGCCACGGCGAGAAGAGTCCGCCGCCGGCGAAGGTGCAGGTCGCCTCCGTGGCGGCCGCCCAACCTCAGGCCGCCCAGCCTCAGGCCGCCCAGCCTCAGGCTGCCCAACCTCAGGCCGCCCAGCCTCAGGGTGGCCAACCTCAGGCCCGCGGTGTCGGGGCGAGCGGAGGCTTAGGAGAAGGTCGAGTGACCGCTAGCAAGGCTGCCCACGGCCCGCTTCCGCCCGAGCATGTGGGCCTCGCCAAGATGGCGGCCGCGGGCCTCGAGATAAAACCGGGCGCATCCTGCTCCGCTGTGCCGCGGCGCATCGTCAGAGAACCACTTGAGCGTGTCACGCTTGCGGTAGGCACGTATCTCCGCACGTACATCTCTGCTTGCGGTGGCGATCCGGCTCTCGTGCGAGGGTGGAGGCCCAAAAACTTGCGAGGGTGGAGGCGCGGCTCAAATAAACTTGCCCAAATAACTTGGATCTCGCCGAGTGGCCAGCCTCATCAGGGCCGCAGCGCAGTCGCCCGCGCTCTCGGTTTGACGCCGCTCACGGCCAATCAAGTCCAACGCCTCCGCTACCCGGTGCCGCGCCGGCAGAGCGCGCCGCCGCTGGCGCCCCCCCCGCCGCAGGCAGCCCCGCCGCCGCAGCTAGGCACGCGGCCGGGCGTGGGCGCACCGGCCGCTGCAGCGGTGAAGAGGCCGCGGCTCTACTGCCCCGCTCCCGCGCGTCCCTCGGGTGGGCTTGACGCGCAATGCCAGCCGGACGAGCAGACAGCAGAAGGAGGAAGCCGCTCTGTTGGCGGCCTCTCCGAGTACTTGGTGGTTCCCTCGCCTCCTCCCCACCCCCCGCGCCTCGTCCCCCCCATGGCGCGTTCTCTTCATCAGTCGGCTGGAATGCACCCTCCCATCCCCTCTGCAGGTCTCTTGCGGCGGCCGGGAGGGCCTCGTCGACGGCTGGTACACGCGGACAGAGGTGCGACACACCGGCAGCACCGCCGGCAGCTACGACACCTACTTCTTCTCGCCCACCGGGAAGCGCTTCCGCTCGCGCGTCGAGGTGGCTCGACACTTCGGACTCGACCAAGGCGGAGCTCGGGCGCCGCCCGCCTTCGCCCCCGCCTCCACCTCCGCCTCCACCTCCGCCTCCGCCTCCGCCTCCGCCTCCGCCTCCGCCTCCGCCTCCGCCTCCGCCTCCGCCCGCCAGCCCGGGCCGGTCGCAGGGCTGGGCGGCGACGTGTTTCGGGTCGAGGCGCTGCTCGCGCGGCGGCACGTCGGCGGAGAGGCCCAGTACTTGGTGCGCTGGGAGGACTACCCGCCCGAGCACGACAGCTGGGAGTGCGAGGACAACATCTTCGACGAGAGCCTGATCCGCGCCTTCAATGCCGGCGCCGCGTCCTCGTCCAGCGGCGGCGCCTCCGAGTCGGCAGCAGGCCCTCGGGCCGGCGTTTCTTTTTCTTCCTCCCGGCTGCCGGCCTACCTCTCCGCGCCTTCCCCTGGGCGGCCCCACGCGGCGGCCGGGCAGGGGCCGAGTTTGCAGGGCGCTTTGACCGCGGCGGAGCTGCCGCGGTTTGTGCAGCTTGCCTCGGCGGAGGGGGCGCCGGGTGGCGGTGTGCCACCCCCCATTTGCTTTTGCGGTGCGCTGGCCGTGTTGCGCAAGCGGCGCTGGTGGTGTGCCGACGAGGACGGCGGCTGCAGCTTCGAGCTGTGGGCGTGCGGTCGCACCGACGACGGCACCGCGGGCATGCAGCCGCTGTGCGAGTGTGGCAGGCCGGCGGTGTGGATGGGCAGGAGGTGGTGGTGCGCGCGCGCCGATGGCGGGTGCGAGTTCGAGTGGTCTCCTCCGCCGCCACCCGCGCCTCCAACGCTGGTGCCGCCCGAGGCGATCGAACGGCAGATGGCGCGTGACACCGCGGCGCTGCTCACGGCTGCCGCGCACGGCCCGCTCAACGCGTGGTCCTTCGTCGCACCAAGCGATTTCGGGCTCGGGCTCTGGGCGCGGGCGCCTCTCCGGCGGGGGCAGGCGCTCGGCTTGTACTCCGGGCCGCGGCTGCCGTGCAGCTTGCAGCGGCGCGGCACGTGCGCGCTTCAGATCCCGGGCGCCGACGCCACCACTGCCTGCGCTTCG